CTGCGCGTTTGGGGATTTAGCACTGACTGTTTATCATATGGAAGCCATGATTTTAGCGGTGTACAAGTTAAGTTATAAGATATTTAGCATATAGAAGTAAAATAAATAGGTTGATAATGACATTTAGCCATGTATAGTTTACCCGAGAGGACGCACGACGTATTATTTAACACGGGAACACATGTCGCAATTAAATGACATACAAATGAAACATATTACAATTCAGTAAAATAATGCATTCTGTATTAATTGCAACATTTATTATATAAAGTAACTTTAAAATAATGTTACTTTTAAAATTAATAACAAATAAAAGTACTTACATTTTCTTCAGATGCAGATTTCTTCAGAAATTAACTATGTGTTGCATAGCAGGATTACTTTCGCAAGTTTCGAGGTAGAGAATGCTACTTTTTTTTGTTTGTTTGTTTCTTTTTCTTTATATAGGTATTTGGCCATGGTATTCATTACATATATTCTCTGTCATTCATACAGAATACTAATATTTTTAGTAAAAAAGGTCTTTTTCATTAATAGATTAATGGATTCATTACTAAATAATACATTTAAAACATTCATTTTACACAAGCAATTTTTCAAAGTTGTTTTTTTGAATTTACTTGTTGATAGCTAAAAATATTTTATTTTGAAACAACTGTCTTTTTCATAATAAATTTGACTATGCCAAGTATCTTCAATAATATTCAAATTTTTTAAAGTAGCATTGTAAATAAAACTAGAATAAACATTATACATCTTGTCATCTTTCAAGATTAATTCAAACTTTGATTAATTACTCAAAGCAGTGGTTTACTAACTTTGATGCCCCCTGGGAATGCATAAAAGTATTTTGTCATCTCAGAGAACCAATAATATTTTTTTTTTCATTCTAATCATCTATTGTATATAAACACCTAGCATTATCTGAAAAGTAATTTTTAAAAATTCATTAAAAATATATCAAATTTTTAAGCATGAAAACTGATTTAATTCTTATTATTTTAGGTAAAAATAAAAACTTAATTATTTAAAATGTACATTATTGCGGCCCACATTAATCATAATATTTTAGGAGCCCTGTGGTTCTGCGTGTTTAAAATCTTTTAAAAATTACGTAAGAACACAGCTATACTATTACAAAAAGTTGCGTTACATTCACCCCCCGCCGATTTTCACCACCTCACGCGGTAGTAATGCACCGCTAGCCGGCGGCAAAACGGAGCCCCGAACAGACGAGAAGTATTCTCTGTCTAAGAGCCAACCAGCTTGCTACCTCCGACACACCAATTCACGGGTTTACCAGCTTCGAACTTTTATCGCCATTTTTTGGCGATGTTTACAATTAACGGATCCTTTGCGGAAGTGCTTCTGTTTATTTAAATACGTAAAGTTCATGACGGCTGTCTATTCTAAATTAAAGGATGCCTTTGAGGAAGACTTTCTAAGGAAAACTGGCTCGTATTTACATTACAGATGGAAGAAAAACTAAAACGGTTAATCTTTGGATTATGGTAACTTGGCGATTTTTTGGCAACCAACCCAGCTACCTGCTAGTTTTTGTTTGGACACCATTTTGTTTTCACGAAGTAAAGGCTTTTTTTTTTTTTACTCAACATTTTTTTCCAACAATCTGCTAGCCGAATTACGCTTATACAGTCAAAAGTCGTTAATCCGGACTCGTCGGGACTTCGGCGATTCCGGATTATCGATTTTTCCGGATTATAGATCATCAGTTTAAATCTGGTAAGATGGCATGCAGAAATTACAAAATTAAAAATATGAAACCGTAATTTATGAAATAAAGAACAATTATGATCTAAAGGGTATCAAAATTTACAAAAAGAAAAAGCTTAATATTTATATGTTTACTTTATTAAACATTTCTTTCAATGTAAGTTGCTTCGTTTCATGTGATAATACTTTCTCTTTAATTCTATATATAACATATATAGACATAATTTCTTGTTTAGTTACGAAGTTCCGCTGTTCAAGTCCTATAATTGCTGTGTTGAGAATACCGACTAATTTGTCAATCGAAATGTTTTCGTTTTCAATAACCTCTGGGTCACTTTCTTCACTATCGGAAGCGAATTATAATGACGAGGAACTTGATTTAAATCATATCGAGATGAAATACTACACTTAGTAAGGAATTATAAGCCAAATAAAATAAAAACATCTGCCCTGAAGGATAGTGCTGACAGATCAACTTCCAATCTGCCGCGTGAAATTGATAAACAGATTTCGGATTTCAAAACATACTTTCGCTTTCTAGATACAAATTACATATTAGTAAATATATATCGGAAATTCTATTTGACATAATCGAAAGTTCAAGCTTACTTTTATGAAAGTGCTCTAACAGTCTGCAAAAAATAATAAGCCGGATCCAATACGAAGATTGAGGAACAACGCAATATGTAACATTAACTGAATTAGATAATTTTAGCTTGGTTTATACCTCCGTTACACATTACACGCGCATGCGCACAAAAATATTCGCAGTCGTAAAGGTCTTACGCGCACTCGTAAACGCCTGTGCGCATGCGTGAATGCGACGCATGCGCAGAAAGTTTGTAGCTTTGAGGTCCGGATTATAGATCATTCCGGATTATGGGTGTCCGAATTAACGACTTTTGACTGTGCTAGAACTTTTATGGAACAAAAATGCTTCATCATGACGAAGATTAGGTGCAAAATTGGGAGAAAGTGCAGAATCGCAAACTGCTTGCCATGTTTTTAAGAATTGCACATACACGGTATCCATGTACACGTCAATTTATTTTCACTTAAAAAAACATCCCAGAATTGCACAAAAATGGCATTGCGCACACTTTTGACTTTATCCATGTACACTGCTAAAGTCCTAGCTAGTAACCTTTATCACCTTACCAAAATGTCGCCAAACTACCTGTTACCATATTCCAAAGATTAGCCACTAAAACACCCATACAGCTAACCCATTTTCCAATATTTGAACCTAAATTAAAGTATAACTGTTAAATGGTCTCGTAATTCTCAAAATATTCTACAGTATACGGGTAAAGTAGACTTTAAGGTATCTCTTGTATTATGTCGAAGTTGTTGTTTGATTTATCGCCAAGTTGTTCTTTCATTTATGGTAGTTGAATGTTCTGGAAACCCTATTGTGACGTAATCTGGTGCATGATTCTGGGAAATTTTAAATCATGGGATGTAAGCGTTTTTGTGGTGCGTGTTGGTTTGATTCTTTAGTCGGTAGAATGGCCGAATGTAATAAGATTAATTTGAAGTTTCTGTACGATTTGGAGCGAAGGGGAAAAGAGCTTTAATTGACTGGTGTGTAAATGAAGGTTTACTTAGTAGCCATTATAAGTGTCCTGTATATAGAAAGGATATACGTCTAGTCGAACGTAAAATCCGTTTAGATGGATTTGAATGGGTTTTGTAGGAAGAAAGGTTCAGATGGTCACTATGTGAAATGTTCAATCAGAAAGAGTACCTAGTTTGAAAAAAGTCATTTGAGTATGATTGATATTTTGATTTCTACGTGACTATGGGTGTATGAAGCAAACTCGAAAATCATGGTAAGTGAATATTTGATTTTGGTAGTGCTTAAATGTATAACATGTTTTTCCTTTTTTAAGTTATTTTATTGTTTGGTTTAAAATGTATTTTATTGAGATTATGTATTTTTTTGTTTGCCTATATTGTTGAATTGGGTGCTCCTCTGACTTCTTAAGTGAAAATATATCGATGTCTACATGAACAAAGTAAAAGGAGTGCGCAATGCAAGTTTGTGCAATTCTGTGAATTTTTTTAATTGAAAATAGGTCAACGTGTACACGGATAAAGTTAAAAGGGTGTGCAATGTCATTTTTGTGCAATTCGGGGATTTTTTTTTAAGTGATAATAGGTCAACGTGTACATGGGTAAAGTAAAAGGAGTGCGCAATGCCATTTTTGTGCAATTTGGGGATTTTTTTTAAGTGAAAATAAGTCGATGTGTACATGGATACCATGTTTGTGCAATTGTTTGTCTCATTATTTTGGCTTTGTTTAGCAAGCCAAAATAACGAGTCAAAAAATTGCACAAAATCGGTATCCATGTGCCGCCAAAAATCGCCAAGGTGTACCCTAAACTATACTTTTACCCAGTATACTTATAGCTAAACATCTCTGCAGTAAAACACAAGACCGAACAGTTATACATTATTTAAGAAATTTAAACTGTCTAGATAACAGGTTCTTCAAATTAAGAATATCAAAATTATCCAAGACATTTTTTAGTTTTCAAAACATTGTTAAAGAATTATTAAACACAAACTCAAATACATAAAGTATACTGCTGATATACTAGGATTTCCAAATCTATAATTATTTTTTAAATAATTACCATTTAAAAAGTATGAGAAAAATAAATAATTTATAAGATTTCTAAATCTATGAAATTTTTAAAAGCACATATTAAAATTTATTTTCGTATAAATAACACATCAAAAAGTATATAACATATGTATTAATACACTATGGAAAAGTGTCATATAAATAACAAATTAAAAAGTTAATCATTCAAAAAAAATTTTTATTAAAAGATCAAAGCAAATTGCTACAGAAATATACAATGGTGGAACATTCAAATACATAAATATATTTAAATGAAAATTAGCTAAAATTACTTATATTAGGATAACTGTCCCAGAAAATAAATCAGTTAATCGTAAATGAAATTATTTATAAATTCTCTTCATGAGATGTGCAAAAGTAGCTAAGTCACTTTTACACATTTAAATCATCTCAATATTGTTTTAACAGAAGTGTGCTTTATATAAAAATGAATTAAAAAGAACTGATAAAATAAACAGAAATCATAAATAAGAAAAATTAGAATTATGCATATCCGTATGACTATACAATGTATGAATAATGCATACATATCCATAAATATTCTTATGAATTAAGATCAATTATAACCATGTCATGTTAGAAGTATACAATTTTAAAAATTTAAATTATACTAACTGGTCCATCTAGAACCTCCTGAAGAAACCAAACTCGTTTTATCTTCGCTTTCTAGAGTTGAATTTATACTCATATTTCTATCCTTCTGTTTTACAAGAGGTGTTTCATCGTTACCGCTGTCAGATGATAAAGAGCGATTGTGCAAGCTAGATACAGCTAATGCAACAGTTCGAGCTACTTCCCCCGCGTCGAAGTCCGGGCGAATCTCCATGAGAGTTAAATATCTGCTCAGGAATAAATTGTGTTCGTTTCTACATGGTAAAACATAATTTCAAGAGCAACAGCTGTTTAATCCATCAGGCCTCAAGTTCACAATATGCCGCCACCCTTGACACGATGACGTCACGAACTTGACCACATTTAGGCCAAGATCGGATGAAACATCTCCATCACAGGTCGCTTTGGTCGTTTCGTAGTTAATGAAGTTTATGGAAACTACATTTTTATCGAATCCTTAATCATACATATATAATAATATATGTAATAATAATAATATGATCCATATAATAATATGTTGAAGCATAACCAGGACTTAATTTCTAAAATTAGAAGTGCCGGAGCCCTATGGAAGGCCGTCAGCAAAAAGGAGAAAAGTAAATAAATAAAATGACTATTAAGATCATTAATAATTTTTAAATTAAATAGTTAGTTATTACCAAATTAATTAATAATTATTTAATCAATAATGATAATTACTATTTATCAATTATTATTTAATTAGATAAAATTAATTAATTGTTATTGATTTAAATGATAAAAATTAAATAAAATGTGAAGAGATAAACAAAAATTGGTACTTTTCCGTTTCGCCGGCGCAAATCTCGCCAAGCAGACTTTGTTGGCGACAACGTACAGTATACACGTAAAAAATGTTAACAAATGTTAGGTCTAAGAACTTTTTATTTTGAAGGCATAAACATTTTAATATGGTTTAAAATTTTGAAAAAAGCCAATAAATACAGACAATAAATTTGTAAAAAGACATTAATTAAATAATTTACTATATTTTCATGGTTTAACATCCTGATTCGCCGTTCTTATCACGTGACCCCAAGTGATCTCATCTCACATAAACTACTAATTCTCTCAGTAATTATCTGCATTAATTTCAAGTTAAATCTTAATTTGGAATACAATTTTAAATGTAAGAATTATTTCAATTCGTACGAACAGCTTACTCAGAAATTATGTAAAACCGCAGTGCTTTACTTTGCTAGTGTATTCTCATTAGAACTGATGAATTTAATCCTTGATTTTTGCCTCTTCTATATTTTCGCCAGCGGGTGTGTTGATTGCATCATAATTGACTTAATTACCGCGAATGGTCTTAGGGAATAGCATTTAGCTATGTCTTGTAAAAATTCTATGTAATTGTATGGCAGTATTGAAAGACAATCAATCTGATAAGAAATGGCTGCGACTTGTTTGAAAATGAGGCGTAAAAGGTTACCAGCGAAGATATTCCGTTTGGCATCAGTTGTACCATTATTGGCGACTTTACCGTTTGCGCCGGCAAAACGGAAAAGTACCCAAAAATTTAATAAGCGGTTTTTAATACAAGCTCTACCCCTTGTAGAACATATTAAGACGTTACGAATCACATTAAGGTTAGCCAAGACTGAGGTATATAAATGAGATATAGGATAATTAACAACTTTTTTAATTAATATTCTAAATTACAACTATTACTTGCATGAGTAACAGGTTAATTCGAATCTCTATTTTTAGGCAAAATGTATAACTGCAGGCCAGATAGCAATCGAGCTGGTGATTGATTTCTGAAAGGCAAGAGATTAGAACATGACATGTCAAGTGTGAGAATGATGGTGCCAGAATATACAAAAGGATGCAAAAGATTGCAATAACAAGGAGTGTTACCAGCGAGAATATTTAAGGTAAGTATAATTTAAATAGACATGTTACACATGACGTACACAGATACTATACAGGAGAAAATTAATAAAACACATGATACTGATATTTCTATTTATAAATATAAAGATAAAAGATACAGTAAGCACATAACAGTATTTACATAATCCATATATTTAAAACAGCTAGAGGCCTGTCAATATTGCTAAGGTCATTAAAATCGTAATCAGCAATTTTTACTTCAGGGTTGTTCAGGAAAAGTTGCTTTGTATGAAATTTCTTAGCGATTTTGTAATAAAAAGAGCTTAAAACTCTTACATCTAATTCCTCATTACCCAGTAGAGCGGTGTTTGCAACACCAGGGTGCCTAGGCCAGAGGCCTTACCCCTTGTAGAATATGTCTGGTTCCATTTAATATTATATTTACAGTTAACCATTCAATATAAGCATATAAGTAATTACCAAAATATATTTATATATTTTTTTTTTATATAAATTTTTAGGTCTTTAGAGGGTAAATTGCTGTTATGGTGGAAGCCCAGGAAAGCTGTCGAGCCGTGACTACAAAGTTACATGGTAAGATGGTAAGTGAGTAAGTCAATAGTCTGGATCCATTAAGTACATGATACATGATTCAAAAAATATATGAGCAATAATTAATGAAACATTAGAAGATAATAAAAATAAGAACATACATGACATCAGAGGCAGGTAAAAGGGTGAGAAAGAGTATACACAAAGCAGGAATAAATTACATAATGTACACATTGAGCTGAGCAAGGGGACGATCAATATTCGCAAGATCGTTATAATCATATTCACAGATTTTGATGCAGGGATTGTCAATAATTTGCTGCCTACTGTGAAATCTTTTGGCCAGCCTGTAGTAGAATGATCTGAGCTGCATCATGCCCAGCTCTTCATGTATTCTATTATTCCTGATATACCATTCTGCGTTGGTAATTTGCCTTAGAACAATATTCTGACAAGCCTGCAGCCTGCCTCTGTTAGTTTTTGCGTGTGTGGGCCCAGATAAGGCTGGCATAACAGAGTAATGGTCTGAGAATGGACTTGTAAATAAGTAACTTGTTGTCTATAGATTACACTCTGTTCCGAGCAATTAAGGGGTTGAGTTGCGCTTTACGAACCCGGAACCTTTGGATAATAGAAGTGATGTGTGGGGACCATGTGAGAGTATTGTTGAGGATCACCCCAAGATATAGGACTTGCTTGGCCCAGGGAATGGTGGTACCAAAGAACTGGAGATTTTTCTTGATCTTGGTTTTCCTAGTGAACAGGATGGCCTTGGTTTTGTCGACATTAACTGCAATCTTCCACTGGGTGAGCCAGGTCTCTAGTGCATGGATGTGATTCTGTAGTCGTTGTATTGCTGGACCAATAAATGCACTTTGTGCCAGGATCGCAGTGTCGTCCGCATACATAGCTAATGTTGTGTCATGTGTGGTGGGAATGTCGTTCACGTAAATGTTAAAATATGTAGGTCCAAGCAAGGACCCCTGAGGGACCCCTGCATGGATGGGGTGGAAAGTTGAGTTTGTGCCTGCTACATGAACGACAAAGTATCTACCTGTTAGGTAGGAATTGGTGATGTTAATGATGTATTCTGGGAAACCCAGAACATGTAACTTGTATGTGAGTGCTTCCAACCAGACTCTATCAAAAGCCTTTGCTATATCAAGAAAAATTCCACCAGTGATCCTCTTGTTAGCCATTCCTTCAGCGATGGTCTCAACAACCCTGTAGAGCTGATTTGCCGTGGAGAGTTGCTTCCTGAAGCCGAACTGATGGGGAATCAGAATGTTGTTGTCCTCCAGGTGTGCGTTGATTCTTTTGAGCAGGACTGCTTCGAACACTTTGCTGATGGACGAAAGCAAGCTTATAGGCCTGTATGATTCTGGTTTGTTTGGTGGTTTTTTAGGCTTTAGTATAGGGACTATTTTAGCCTTTTTCCAACACTCAGGAAAGTATTGCCATTCCAGGATGATGTTACAGATCTTGGTGAGAATGAAGATGACTTTGACTGGCAGCTTCTTAAGCATGATGTTTGTGATGTTATCAATGCCAGGGCTCTTCCTGTTTTTGAGTTTCTTGATAATAGCTAGGACTTCTGAAGGTAAGGTTGGAATAATGTTGTCAGTGCGTGGGCTTATAGAGAAAGTGGAATGAAAGTATTGAACAGTGCTTTCAGTGGTGGAGTCATGAATGTTGTTAGTGCGAAATTGAGATTCCAGATGCTGCGCTAAAAGTTCTGCTTTCTCAATTTCGGTGTAATGGATCCCTTGAGGACCTTTAAGGGGCGGAATGTTGTTGTGGCATTTCGTATACCTTTTGATGGCTCTCCATAGCGAGTTATCGTCTGTGGAGAGGTTTTGAAGGTACCTGGTCCAGCTGAGTTGTGCCTGTGTATTGAGTAGAGATCTGACCTCTCCGCAGAGTCTGTTGAATCTTTGTTTGTCCTCTCGGTTGCGGGACCTCTGGAACTGACGTCTGGCAGCGTTGCGTTGTCTGATGAGTAGTCTGAGCTCTTGGCTTCTGTAAGTGTGCCCCTTCGGCACAGGCTTTCTGGCTGCAGAGTAAGCATGAGTGATATCATCGGTAAAAAGTCTTGATTAAACTATCAATGTCATCCCTCGATTGTACTGTGGGGGTTGTGTAGTGCATGTTGTTTAGAGTTTTGGCGAAGGCTCGCCAGTCCGTGCGAAAGACTCTTGTGTCTGGTGGAGTATAGCTGCTGACGTTCAGAATCAGTCTGACCGGATTGTGATCAGAAGAGAGTTCGTCGAGCACAGAAATATCCAGCGGAACGCTGGTATTTTTGAGCAGGAAGAAATCCAAGATTCCAGTAGAACGGGCAGTATACCGTGTTGGTGTTTTGGGAGCTGCTATGTGTAGATTCGCCGATTTGGCCAAATTGAAAACTACATGTCCTATGTCATTTGAATTATAGCAGTTCCATGCGCGATGTCTAGCGTTAAGGTCTCCACCAATAATAACATGTGTGCCAAGTGAGAGTAAAACCTGCAAGTCCATGCGGACAAGTTGAGGGTTACGTGTGGGTGGAATGTATGTGGAGACAAAAATGTATGTTATATTATTGCTTGTTATGAGTGAGGATGGCTGAGGCCTCAAATAGCTGAAAGCCGTGGAATTGGAACAGGGTTGTGAGGAATGCAGCGTTTAATAAGAAGTGCTGTGCCCCCGCCATGAGGGTTCTGATCTGTAGCTGGTCTGTTATATCTGTGTACAGCATAATTCTGCACAAAGATAGGTGATGAAGGGCCAAGGCGGTGTTCCTGTAGGAAGAAGATATCGGGGTCGTACTTATTTACAAAATCCCGAAGTTCATGAATTTTACGGGATAGTCCATTCGCATTCCATGTAAAAATATGTACACAATCATTCATCAAGTTATTCATTATTTACATTATTAGAGCCAAATATGTCCTCACAAATGTTAA